TTCAATGAAATAAAACCTATCCCTTTTTTAAGTAGGTTAGTGATGCAATTCGAGTAGGATTTTGTGACTCGAGTGTGGTAGTTGATTAGTCACTCGAGCTAATCAACTACCACACTCGAGTGTTCGAGTGACTCGAGTAAAAAATTTCAAACGTGATACTCGAGTGAGATTTCTCTTAGTAATTTAAAACAAATATCTATACATAAAATAAATTAAACCAGTATTGACATATGATTTAGCGTAGAGAAGAGAGTTTTAGAATTTTAGAGTAGCGAAGTCATGCCTATGGCAAGAGAATGCCGAGTTAACTGGATAACGTGAGTGCATAGAGACTAGAGTGATATTTTTTTGGCTCGAGCACGAGTTTGAAAAATACACTCGACTTGCTCGAGTAAAACAGGACTCGAGTCGCATCACTAAAGTATGTTTTATTTGATTGAAGCTCTATGCTACGAACCTTTTTTCTAGCAAAATAGCATTGAAATGGCGTTTTTATTTTCTTAGCATTCTGAATCTATGTATATATATATATAATGTCTCCCAGATCATTGCCAACAGGTAAGATACCCAGAAATCTGCAAGCTTTTCCTCTTTGAACAGCCAAACTAATTCTTTGGGCGAGGTACAAACCAGCCTTCTGATCACCAGACTTGTCAATAAGTTTATTTTTTAACTCTTGATAAAGACGATGGGCTCCAGTGCCCCACGGACCCATCGTTTCGACCCCAAACGGCTCAAATATGTAGGTATTACTTATATCTGAATATTTTCGCCGTTTGAAACCAGACAATATTTATTATTGTTATTAACTAACCGAGAGATTTCAAGATATCTTTTTTGACCTCGATTCAGTTTCATCTCTCTACAAGATATGTTGTTTTGTTGGCAATAACAAGTTGCATGCACCATCGCACATCTGTTTTCTGTACTGCGCTTGCAAAACGACTTTCCTAGAATTATGCACGTCCACAGATGTGATATTGGAAAGTTTCACGATATTTTCTAGGATTATAGTTTCGCTATGCTACATGATAACGTGACTAAAATATTCTTCGGTCTTTACATACGCCTCTTGCTTCCTTGACGTTTATAACTATTTTCAAAGCTCACCAGTTTTTATGGCTTTAAGCATCCACACTGTGATCCGACCTCTGCATCCTTCCACTTCCGCTTATGTCAATTGAGATTCATATCATAACAATCGTCCAGATCTCTTGAAGTTATTAACAGCAACTTAGAAAATTGGCGAATTGGCGATGTGGTTTGGTTATTGCAACCACAAACCTATATTCTTCTCTTTCGACCAAAATACTTGAAATAAAATAAATAAAAATTAATCACCATCATATTAATTACTGACTTTCCAAGATGAGTAGCTAAAGTCATCGTATTATAGAGCATTGAGACAATGATGCCACCACAACGTCCACAGCTCCCAGAATCGAGAAAATATAGAAAAGTTTATTTGCTACTTTGACACGATCCGGAACCGAACCCGTCGATTCTTCAGAGCTGGCTACACCCTGAAACTGGCGTGCAAACCACTAGACTACGGAGGTTTCCAAAAGTTAGATTACGTTTTTCATTTTTTTAATCACAGTTAAAACAGTTATTATTGTAATTGTAAACTATAACTATAAAGATGATTAAAGTCAAAGCATGTAAGTATTACCCCTATTATTTTAAAAGTGATCAAACAATAAAAAACTTTTATTTTGAGAAGACCAGTCAAGAAGCTGGAAGGACTGAGTTTTTCGTGTTGACTTTTTTAAATATTACTTTAAGACTATCAGTCACCTTTCATTGCACAGTTAATTAAGATAACACGTTACGCACAGATGTTGTTTAAGTAGTACAGAGCTGACCTATGCCCACTAGTAGCACATAGTTTACGAGCATGACACATGAGCCAGCCATCGTTTTAAATAACACTTTTTTAAGAAAATAACGACCTACAACACATCACCACATACTCATACTTTAAATTTTTCCAGCAATCAACTCTTACATGAATACGGAGAAACATTTCCAACACAATATCGTATTATAACTAATAATTAATAAGATATATATTATTTCTATGCAGATGAGGGTAAATTTTATTTCTCTTGGTTTAAAAAAAAAAATCTGCAACAGATGGTATTCGAATCGTACCCAAACTTCATCTATTTTTTTCTTTACCTAACCTTTTCTTATAATTTGCATATTCGTATACAAATAGTAGTAGTATGTTTATGATAATTGCCTGTATGTGCATTAAGTATTCTGGACACACAAGTCGGTATATCTCCACATCTCTGGAGACAGACGGGTCTATTTTTATCGCGTCATGCTAGTGCAACAAGTCAACGACCACTGTGCAGCGCCTCGGATATTTTTTCAAAGTTCAACGAACCTGATAATTGAACTGGCATCAATTATTAACAAACGTTCTAAGATCGAACAAAAAATATTTACAGGCGTTTGTTGGTGTCTCTAAGTACTCAGCAGTAATTATTAAAACTAAACTATTTATCAATTTTGTTACGCCGTTACGAGGTTTTCATAAATGTAATGTATATATTTAAGCTAAGCTTTAAGTTCTGAATGTAAACATTTGTTAAGAGTGATTTGATATTTTGCTCAACTTACGAAATGCTATTGCTATGCGTATATCCTTTTCTACATAATTAAAATGCTATACTTTAAAAGAGAATTAATTATCTTAAACTTAATTAAGCTAATAAATTATGTCAGCTTTCATCAACATCCTTTGGAGGTATTTTTGTGAAGAGATAGTAAACACATTATACTCACAATATAGTTGTACAACTTTCACATGTATGATAGTTGAGGATAATAGAATATGTAAATATTCTTAATCTAAAAGTAATTTCATAATATTGATAGTCATAAGAGTGCACACATTGATGACTAATGAAGAGAAAACGAAAAAGATCGCTAGGCTATTCGATGAGGCAGACAGACATGAATAATGACGTATTGTAAGAGGAAAACATCATCATTTATTTTTAATTTATTATTTATTTATGAATTTATATAACATCGTCGAATATCAGGCAACAGCTACAAAACGACACTTTGAATATTATAATTTTTTTAAGAGAAATGAAAATAAAATCACTTTTATTGCTTATAATAAATTTGCTATTATCGATTTACTTTATGCACATTTAAATACCTATACAGAAATGTGTAACATTGTCACGAAATATGATAATTTCCTGATATCTTAAAATGTCAAGAATTAATAGTAAAACTATAATAATAAATATAAATGAGAGCCGTAATGACGTTGATGTCTTTAGTTTAAAAAATATGCTCCATATAAAAGTAAACAGGAGAAGCGGCAATCTTAAGTGATAAACATTTTATTAACATACAACAACAGTAGAGCTCATAAGTCGTTGAAGTTGTTCGATTTCATTTCCGTTTTACAAATGGTATTCGATACCGAGAAGTATTGATAAATATTAGATAAACCAATAATTCCATACAATTTTCACTTGTTATGCAATACGGATAGTGTTACCAATTATAGTTACAGATAGTACAATAAAGAGAACAAAGCACGGACGTTAAATCAATTTTTGGCCATTCGTCTATACGTTACGTACCTATAAGGCTTCGTAAAGATATATGTTACAAAGTATATGCTTTATCCCGCTCTAGCATATAGGTGAATCCTGCTCGCACGCAGAGGCTACGTCATCGCAGAAACCAGCCAGCCAATTGACCGGTATACCGCCAACCTTCAGTTTTTTTTTATTTATAACTCGCTGTGGCTGGATAAGTTATGCCTTGTTTACGCTATCGAAATTACTTGCTTACTTATATTAAGATCGCTAGCAAGTAGAATGACATGTGATATGTGAATTTGATAAGAATGAATAGGTTGATGTTTTATGAGTGATAAATTTAAGGAAAACTAAATAAATATTTTATAATAAAACATCAAAAATTATTAAATAAATGAAAAATTATAATTAGCTTACATGCATATCAAATTTAAATATAAATGAAACTTCCTTTGAAGTTTATTTTTAAACAGTAAATACTTTTCTCCAATAAAAATAATAAGAATTATCCAAATCATAAAATAAAATAAAATATACGCGTCGATTAGAGTGCCTATTTTTTCGTCGGATAATACAGTGTTTTAACATGCATTCAATATTGAATATAAAAATAATGGAAGCAATACAATGATTCATTGTTCCGTTCCGTTTCGTTCCGTTCCGTTCTATTTAACTAATATATTAAAAAACTGAAATTTACAAAGTTCGAAACTTAGATATCAATACAAATACCAAAAAGTACAAATAGAATACGAGTTGTTTATCGAGTTTTGATAGTTAATTTACTTTTATACTTGAAAGAAAACCGGAAGGATTATCATGGACAAATCAAGAAAGTACCGTAGCGACATCTAGTTTGATTTTGGGACCTAATGTTTTTTTTTTAAATACTTCCTTATTGTTGCGTTATGACAATTCACAAATCCATTAAATTTAATTTAATCATTATTTTATCATTTCATGATTCTATACATCCCAGATAAGGTAATTATTACTAACTGAAATAAGTTTCAATTAGTTGATATAGTACTTCCTTAGAGTAATTAATGTAAATATTGAAAAATACTAATCCTGAATAATAACTAAACACAGCGTATTCAAATGATGTGAATGTAATACAATAAAAATTATAATAATGCAGCAAATATAGTGGAACTGGCTAAAAAAAATAATACTTACATTATCTTTAAACACAAGAACTTTTTATAGAAATAGACAAACCGATTCATCGAATGTGCAATTTCTATAAAAAGAAAATTACAGGAAAATTAGTTACAAATATAATTTAAAAAACGGTAACACTTATACATTTTACGCTACTTGCTCCAGTAGTGGTATCAGTCAGTTTATGATGTGAACGCAACATTATACGGTTTAATGAACGGCCGACTATGGCGGCAGCGTGCGGCGTGAACACGGTGCGCAGTCGGCCCCGAGCAACAGGCGGCGCGCGCGCAACTTGCGTTCACGCAGTGAAAGTCTGCGTGACTCACCAGCTGCAGTCATGAACGAGTACGCCGAATACGGGTGGAAGCTGCATCAGATGCAGAATGAGCGTTTATGTGGGGCAACTAGAAAACGTTTAACTGATGGTGATAGACAACGCGCACTCGTGGGACTGAAAGAGGCAGTTGATTCTAGTCTCAACCTCGCTTTACGTGACAAAAGCCGATGTCAAGACGATAACTTCCTGCGAAGATTTCTTTATGCTCGTAAACACGATGTGCAACAGAGTTTCGAGTTATTGGTGCGCTACCATCAATTTAGACGCGATCATCCTGAATTGTGGGCTTCGCCTGATGGTGGTGTATTACGTGCGTTAGCTGACGGATTGCCTGGTGTGCTCGCCGAGCGGGACCGTAGAGGTCGTTGTGTGCTTCTAATGTTTGCTGCCAATTGGACTCCTCATGCCTGTTCTCTTCTTTCTGTGCATAGATCTTTACTACTCACATTGGAACGCACTCTCGAAGATGTACAAAATCAAGCAAATGGATATGTGATTATCGTGGATTGGACTGAGTTTACTTTCAGACAATCGTGTAGTTTACAAGCTAAAGTATTGAAGTTAATGATTGACTGTATACAGGATTGCATGCCAGTTCGTTTTAAAAGCATACATTTTATCGGTCAACCGTGGTATGTGGAAACGGCTTTGGCGGTAATAAAACCATACCTTAAAGCGAAGACACGGGAACGTATTGTGCTTCATGGGAATAATTTGTCGACACTTCACGATTCTCTACCACTAGATATTCTTCCAGCTGAGTTAGGAGGCGAGGGACCATCTTATAACTCAGAGCGATGGATTCAGGAATTTTGTCGAGGTGAAAACATTTGCCCTGCACCTATAGCACCAGTGTCTACAATTGCGCCCCAGGAAAATGACCCACCTACTGCAAAATTGGACAAAGCGTACATTCAAAAAGACAATGTGAATTTTCATGGCAGCGAAAAAAGTGCAAAATCGGAGTTATTACGTGACAAAGATTGATCTTGACGTTCTTATTGAATGCAATGGCAAAATGGACAGCTCTCTGTCTGGTCACGCTTGTGGCGCCCTACGAACGTGCTGCGGACGGATTTTGTGATATCTTTTATATTCTATAATGCTAATTTATTGTCCAGAGACTACAGAGGGTAAATGCCTCATTAGAAAGCCGTTCATATATGGTCAGGTGCATTTATATGGTCTTGCATTTAATAGCACCGTTTGGTAGGTGGGTGTTCGTTTCGGTTCGTGGTCATATAAATAGTGAGTCAGCGCAGTTAGTATGGTGCGGGCGGTGAGGTCGACGCATCCCCTCACTGCACTGCACCACGGTCGCCGTCCGGTCGTCTCTCAACTGCGCTAACGCATGTAACGGTGTCGAGCTCTCATTTTGCCGCATCGGTTCGGTTCAAGAGCGCCGGAATCGTCTTATTTGTTGCATCAGATTGCTCTCAGCTACTTTCTTACTTTATTCTTTATAACCTAACCAGTACTTGTAATTAAAAAAATATCTCATTTATGTAATAAATATGAACTACTAATTTTATTATAGCTTTGCTCACGAGGCTTGTTGCGCATTTATTATGACATTATGTTAGACCCATGTTTAGAAAATAATAGATACCGTCCTGATGTGAAATATTTTAATGATAAGTGTCTATTGTATTTGTATTGGATAGGAGTACGTCATCCTGTGTAGTGTGTTTATGTCTTTGTATTTTGTCATAAATTATTTTGTGTGTACTATGTATCTTTTGTTGGAAAGACCTTGCTTGATATTTATTCATGTTGATGCTCTCTTCCATGATGATGATTTATTTATAGTAAGGTTATATTAATTGTATAGACAGATGACTGCTGTGACATTAGATAATAACGTAATTTTGAATTATAATTTTGACACCCATCTCTAATCTCTTAAATTATATTGGAGAAATGTACAATTCATAGCAATGGGATTGAAACAGTTAGAACTGATATTCAATAAAAGTATAAAATAATTTATTTTGGATTGTTTTTATTTGAACAACAAGTTTAAAGGTGACATTATTAAAGATATCGGAAACACATAGAATAGTTAGATTATCAGATTTTGTCATAAGTTTAACTAATTATTCCTCTTTCGTAAATTGTAAACAGATTTGTTTACAAATATGAGTGAGACTGTCAATGATAATTGGTTCTTTATTCATAGTAGATGGAAGAATCAAACTGTTAAACTTGACCAATGAGATCAGTGTTATATTTATAAGATGATAATATTATGACATTTAGCATACAGAAGCAAAGCCAAACTATATTGTTAATGAGCATGTATTGTCTACAGTGGAAACTTGTAGAAGCAAAAACTACTGGGCATTAGAACAAAAATTAACTGGTTATTATATTAAAGAAAAATACAATTTGCATTTAAAATAAGGTCAGTAAGCCGAAAAGAGAGATGCCAAAAAGTAGGTAGTTGATTTAGTGCTAACGTCTCATTAGCATTCATCTTAGAGTGGTCGAATTAATTTACATAAAATATGAGTCAACATTATGAATACGGTAAAACACGTCTGTTAAAGTTGTGCACGTTTCGTTCTTCAAATGGGATAGGTATATTTTTGGAGTCCTGTACATGAAACATTTTTATTCTATTCGAAGAACTCGAATATAAAAACACCTTTTCATTTGCCTCTCTAAACGTGTTTGAAACAGTTATATTAAAGAGCTAGCGGTAATTGTTCTCAATTTATAACATTTGCATGTGTTATAACTTTCCTTTGTCAAAACAAGACAGAGTAATCGTTCATAATTTTATAGTTAGCTTGAGTATGTACTCGTTAAGTCATTCATGTCGAGGTCGATACGGGGTCGTCTGATCAATCAGATTATCTCTCTCTTTTCTTTCATTCAAAGCTATAATCAACAAAAAAAATTGGCAGCATAAAAATGCCATTTATAGAAACATAGTACCTACTTAAATAATTTAAAATATGACTTGAGATGACGTAAATAAATTTCTCGCAATGAAAATTTCTCATTCGAAATAATACATCATAATGTTTCTCTAGAAATTTATTTGTAACTGGTATTCAGAACTATTTTAGTACCAATCCAAAATGTTTAATGTAATAACGATTTCTTTAAATTACTTTTTAATTATCCGTAACGGATTCTCCATTCTTAGAATAAGAACATCCATTTTTATACCGTGCCAGAGACATTTAATGTGAAAGTACATATATAGATGTACGTGAGGATGAAGTTGGTACTGTGGCGATAAAATAGTTACGAAGAAAGATGATTTCAATATATAAACATTTAATGAGTGTGTTAGCGGCAGTGCTGTTCTGTTTAAATACAACGTCGAACGTAGCGTCCAACACAGCGCTGTCATTTAATTAGAGGTTCAATCAATCTAATGGTGCGATAACGCTGTATTGTTACAGAATACCATAGCAGATCATAAACAGCATTTAATTAATTTTTATGTGGCCGATAACTGATTATAAGTTATAATGATAACAAACACGAAAAGAATTAATCCAACGCTGTTAAATCATTTATTTATGCGATTGTTACAAACGCAAGCAAAGTCACGGATAAAAACTCATTGTTAATAAAATAAACAGTGATCAGTTGGGAATAATAAAAAAAATGTGTTAAAAAGACAAGATCTGACATCAATATTTATGATATAGGTATAACTAAGGTTGTATTGTTGTGGCTAACAATAGCGCATTATAATGGAAGAAAACTGATCAACCGTGACATGTAAATATTTAGTTCGATACTCTCATTTAAAGTACAAGAGCTCGAGGCAAAAATCTGCAAGAGTAAGGGAAATGTGGCGCGCAATATAAAACGTAAAATGTTCGAGGAATTAATATTTAACATAACATAAATGAATTGCTAAGACCGCACATATTAATAAAAAAGGTATGCAAATCAACTCTGATACAGAGCTTGGTAATAGATGAAAATTAAATTATTACGTGGTTCGTAAATAAAAAATACTTGTCAATTAATAATGTTTTTTGAAGCGCTTGTTACTTTTTCCCTACTACAGAGCATATTTTCATCAATGTTCAGGCAATCCACCCAAAAGCCATAAGGAATATTTTTACAAATGTTTAAACTTTCGTTTCAAGTTCGAGTCCCATCTCAGAGTGCCGGGGACACAGCGGATTTTTTAAGCATATTACATTAAGAATATCTTTCAGTATGGCTGCGAATGCAAAACTGATCAGATATAATAAAAATACTTATATTTACTACACAGGAAACTAAATTTCTACGAACTAACACATTCAACAATCGCTAGAAGACGGTCCCCTATCTGAACCTTCTACTATGTACTGTTGTGATGAACTGATGATGTATTCCTCAGTACTTCAACTGAAATATTAACCGTTACAACTTACACATTTTCTTCACGAGAAGCTCTTTATCTATTATGATAAACTTGGCAGTGCCCGCTAATTATTTCGAATGTAGAGTTATGGTAGAAGGTAGCTATGCTGTTCTTCAATATCTATCTACCTCTATATAAAACAATGTAACTAATACAAAGACTTTATTTTAATATTAGTTTTGAATCATATTCTTGTGAAGTCAACAAGAGACATTCTTAAAATATTTTAACTTGTGACTCATAAAAATGAGAGAAGTGTTTTTAATATGCATTGTTCTAAATACAGAATATGCATAATTTTTTAATGATTGCTTACAGGACCGGACTGTCCATATAGCCAGACAACTATTGTACCTAGGGTGCTCGTATCCGGGACCAGCATGGCATTGCAAATCGATTATGCTTTGATCGAATCATTTGAACCTTTAAAATGCAGTAGGTACCTTAAAAAAAACTTTTGTTTTGCAAAATATTGAACATAAAATTAAGTTTCTTATACATTTTAATTACACTTTTTTATCGGTGTTAGTTAGTCTTTTGTTTTTAGCCGCCATCGAAAAAGGAGGATGTATATTTTTTGGTATGTTTGTTACGCGATTATTCCGCCAATTATAAAGCGATTTTCAAAATTCTTTTTTATTCGACAGCTTAATGGGCCGTGTTGGTGCCATTGAAATTTTATCGAAATCATATTAGTAGTTTTCTTGTTATTACAAAATAAAATATGTTTTTCATCAGATGTCACCTAAATATTTTGATGTCATGTTTATGTCAGGGAAAAAATAAAAGATTTATATATTCTTATAATGCCAGGGACAATGTGGATTTTTTTAGTTTTTTCCATTAAGAATATTTTTCAGTATAGCATTGTGAATGCAAAATTGATCCAATTTAATAAAAATTTTGAAGAAACATTGAAGTCGGGCGGTTACTTCAATGGTTCTTGAAAAATTTAATCGCTATTTACCTTGTGTGTTCATAAGTTTTGAGACAAAAACAAAAAGTGTTTTAATAATTAACTTATACATCTAAAATTTTTAGTAACCTTTAACTTAATAATAATAAACAACAATTGAATATATATTTTATTGCCTTTGTTTTTCATACAGGCCCTTAGACGATTTGGCCAGTCATCAATGGCGACACGAATCTTTTCTAGCGGAATTCACTTTGCTTCTCGAACAAGGGTTTGCTTCAGTCACTACACCAAGTTTGAGTGGGACTTTCGGCAGGCCCTGAGCTCTAATTCAGTCCATAAAGAATAATCCACCGGTTTGAGGTCGGGGCTGGAGGAGGGCTTCACGTCTGCCGCGATGAAAGCCGGCACATTATCACCCAACCAAGCTTGGATGCTTTTTGCTTTATGGGATGGCGCCAAGTCTTGCTGAAAAACGCAATCCTTATTGTGAAACAACGTATCAGATAGGGGTTTTACCACGGGCTCTAAATGTTACTCTGATCATTCTTGGCTTTCACCTTGACACATTGTTGGCAGAAATTGAGCTTCATACTAAACTCCCCACCATACCATCACACTAGCCGAATGATGAGTGCGCAGACATTTCGTACAGAAACTGGGACATTCTTGCTACTTTTAGCGTATACTTTATTGTTTTGTCGGTTGAACTTTTCTTCGACTTCGAAATATTAGTCTGCAGAGCGAGTTGCTTCTGAGTGCGACATGGATTTCGGCGAAGTCGCTCTCGGATGATTTTGATGTTCGCAGGCGTCCTCATAGAGCGTGGCCGACCACTCCTTTCGCAATCTTGCAGAGAACTTGTCTCTTTGAATTGCGTAATAGACGAAGTTATGGCTTACAGGGAAACTTTTTAGCTCGCGGAAAATCTGCATCGGTTTTTTTCCCGCCTTAATCTAGCTGTCCGCCAGTGGCTTCGCCCACGTGGTCTTGTATTATACATAAAAACCTTCCTTTTGAATAACCCGATCTATGTAAAAAAACCGCATCAAAATCCGTTGCGTAGTTTTAAAGATTTAAGTATACATAGGGATATAGGGACAGAGAAAGCGACTTTGTTTTATACTGTGTAGTGATTAGTGATGAGTCCCTCACTCGTGAGGGAAAAAAATGAGGGAGTACTCGTTTAACAACTTTGAACAACCTCATTTAGCTCCTCACTTTTTGAGGTTTCGAGCACGAAGTGCAAATACAGATAAGACACCTCACTCAGCAGAATAGAGAATTGCTTAGAATGAAAGGTTGAGTTGATACATAATCAACTTATTAACGATTGATTGAGGGAGGGTTGGTTTGATGAGTTTGATAGAACGACTCCGTTTAGTTTAGCGTTTCCTCGCAACTAGTGCCTATTTAACGTTATCTTAGATTAATAATATTAATCAGTTGAAGTAAAGTACGGCTAAAAGAGTACAAATAAATAATGTAATTAGAAATAACATTACAGAAGTATTTATAGAGTAAAGAAAGAAATTAATAACCAAAAGGCATTCATTCTGCATAAGAAAATATAAAAAACAACTTTTTTGCAACAATATGAAATTATCGTAGCTTTAAATATTAGATCATTTATTAATCACAAATGTTTCTCTCGGTTCTGTCGGCGTGTAGTGACGCGCGCAAAGCGACC